AAATGGAGGGCCTAAAACACATAGAGTTTAAGCAATTTTTCTCTGGTTACACAGCTGGATCTGGGGTTTGACACTTCAAGATCAATCTAGCTCCCAAACCAGCCGGCTTTCCACCATTCATTCAACATGCATTCACCCCGCACCTATTTTACACCAAGCCTGTTTTAGGAGCTGGGGAGACACCACGAATCAGACTCAAATCCCTTCCGTCATGAAGCTTACATTTTAGGAGAGTAGAGAGACAATATTCCAGACAGATAAGAAAAATATATAGCATGCTGAGCCGTGATAATTGCTACAGAGAAGCATAAGAGAATAAGGGAATAAAATAGGGCAGGGGGACAGGAAGTATGGGGAAGGTTGTGATTTTAGGGGTGGCCAGGAAGGCCTTCTCGCTGAGAAGGTGATGTTTGAGCACACACCTGACAGAAGGTGCAAGAGGGAGTCATGTGGAAGAAAAGCATTCCAGGCAGAGGGAACGGCCCATGCAAAGGCTCTGAGCAAGAGCAAGCCAGGGAGGGTAACTGCGATGAAATCGGAGAGGGCCTTAGACCTCCAGGAGGACTTTGGCTGTTTGCAGAAGGTAGGCCACTGGAGGCACGTAGCACGGCAGTGACGGGACCGGCTCTGCATTAGGACAGGGTCATCCCAGCTACCAGGGTGACAGTAGGCTGTGGCCCGGTGGGAATGCGGCAGAAGCAGGGAGACTGAGCCACGGGGCCTCTCTTTTGAGAGGTGGACCTTTCAGAACTCCCACAGTCCAATGGCTGTCTAATGGACCAGTTAGAATCCACACTTTGCACTCTGTGCCCACTGCCACCTCCCACTCCTGGCTTTCACGGCTGCCCACCTGAGCTGCCCCCACAGCTTCTGCTTTGGGGACAGAGTTCAAAAAGCCCTGCAAGGAGCCTGCCTGTCCACTTGGACTCCAAAGTTATTTGATAAGACGCAGACCGAGACCAAGGACCCACGCAATCAATGTGTGAGCTGAGGAACCTTTTAGGCTGTGTTACCATCACCCAAAAAGGTCTTTTCAAACCACTCAGGGGAAAGGGAGAGAAAAATCTCATGAGTTCCGCTGCCCCAGCTCCATCCAGACCATGGGTCTGGCTGCGCTGACTTCTTGGGACCAGGAAGATAAATAATTGCTAGAAATCACGTCAGCCTGAGGAGTACACAGCCTGGAGCCCTGACCCTCCCTGCCCCCTCCCCCCACCCGCCCCAGGGCAGGGGTTACCTTCATAAAGTTGTGCAAAGTGGCACACCCACGTGGTCCTCCCTGAGATTCAGCCCGCCCCACAGCAGTCAGCTTGCCCTCACTTTTCCTTGAGGCGAAGAATCTAGATCTGCACTGATCAAGCAGGGAGCTGTGGGCAACACGTGGCAATTGAGCATTTGCAACAAAGCTAGTCTGAACTGAGATGCACAGAATAAAATAGCTTATTACTCATTTGTAATCATTCACTACCTGGAAATCATAATCATAAATCATAATCATCCACTAACATGAAAATATTTGGGGGTTAAATAAAAATTGTCGTATATTATTTTCACCTTTTTTAAACCTTTTTAACGTGGCTGCTAGAAGATTTTATTATTTGTTTAAAGATTTTATTTATTCATTGGACAGAGAGAGAGAGTACAAGCAAAGGCAGCTGCAGAGGGAGAGAAGCAGGCTACCCGCGAAGCAGGGAGCCCAAAGCGGGGCTCCATCTCAGGACCCTGGGATCATGGCCTGAGCCGAACAGGCAGACGCTTCACCGACTGAGCCCCCCAGGCACCCCCTACTAGAAGATTTTAAATCACATCTGTGGCTCACATTATAATGCTATTTGACAACACTGCTCTCAAGTTATGACTGGCTCCCCCATCCTCTCCACAGAACAAAGCTAAGAGAGGTCAAGCATGATTATTTTGTGAGCCGATAATGGGAAGAAAACTCCGACTTTGTTTTTCTTATCTATTTCACACATACCAGGAGAGAGAGGAAGAGGCATTGCAAGGGGCCAAATCCAGGAAATGGGTGAGAGCCTGCAACCACCTCCAAGCGGGCCCCATTCACCCACCCAAAGTGTGTGCGGTGGGTGCTGCCAGATTCCCCTGTTAGAAGCAGAGCGCTGGCCATGTCCCTGGTGCACTTCAGAATCCTCCAAGGGCACCTCAGAGGAGTCCAGACACCTTGCCATGGCATGCGAGTCCCTGCGCAACCTGCCAAACTTGTCCTTCCAGCCTTATCTCACATGCTTGCCTGCCCCTGTCTCTTCACACATTCATTCATTCGACAAATATTTACTGTTACTTCCCACGTGCCAGGCAAAGTGCCGGCTACTAAGGTCAGGTGGTTAGCAAAGCAGACACTAAGACCCCCCTGTCGTGGGGGGTGACAAGTAAGTGAATGGAGGCAATTACAGCACATGCTTAAGTAAGAGCAGCTGTGGGGCAAAGCACGGGGGCCGTGGGTGCACCAGAGGTACCTAAACCAACCTGGAAGTCCAAGAGGGCTTCCTGGAGGAGGTGACATCCCAGTTGAAGAATTTGAGTTGGCCAGACTGAGGCTCGATGGTGGTAAATACCCCGTGCAGGGGAACTCTGAGTTCAAAAACCAACCGGCAGGGCAAAGCAATGGACAGAGCATGCAGAACTGAAGGACATGCCATATGGCTGGAGGGCAGGGGCCAGGGGCAAATGACTGGCCTGGGGTAGATGGCAGGGGCTGTGCGAGCCCTGCAAAAGAGTGTGGCATATACCCTAAAGGGTTTATTCTGCAAGAGTTTTAAGCAAAGGAGCTCCTGTTTCACACCTGAAAAGCCTTTCCCCTCCTCTGGGTGAGCTCAAGTCCCACCTCCCCCAGCAGGAGCCGCGTCCAGGGGGCCAACCTCCTGTCAGGCCCTTGGGGCTTTAAAGGAGACAGAGCAAGGGGCTTATAGGGGCTCCAATCCAGGGATGAGGGTACTGGGCCTGGGTTTGGGGATCAGCTGGTGTTGGGATTTGGGGCTGAGGCAGGATTTGAGTTTGGGGCTGGGATTCGGGGGCTGAATTGAGTCAAGGTTGTGGTCTAGAGTCTAATTCCAGAATTTGGAGCCTGGGGTTGGGGTGAGGAGTTGGAGCTGAGGTTTCAAGCCAGATTTGGGGTTGGGATTTGAAGCTGGGGCTGGAATTGGATTTGGAAATGGGGCTGGGGGTGGGGGCTAAGATGTGTTGTAGGGGTTACAGTTGGAGCTAGGAAATCTAGTTAGGGTTTGAAAGTGCAGCTGGGGTTGGGGTTAGGCTTAGGCTGGCACTAAAACTAAGCTGGGCTTGGGGGGGGGGGATGGGTTAGGGTACAGGCTCTGGGGCAGATAGACAACGTTCCTCCTGCTGCCCAGATCTGAGAATTGTGTTTGAGCCCTAACAGCAGCAGACAGAAGCCCCTCCCTTCCCAGGAATGCCTCAGCCCGGCAGAAGGAGCTGTGCCACGTCAGCCAATTGGCTCAAGCCCTGCCTAGGAAACACCTGCTGATCCTCCTCCCTCCCCACGCACACCCCCAGGGCTTACCTGGACGCAGGTCAGGCAGGTGAAGCACCTCCCCGGAAATGGAGCTGGAGTGCCCCACCTGCCTGGCCCTGCCTGCTCAGATCGGATCCAGCACTTCCAGGCTTCTTGTGAGTGCCCCATGGTCCCCTGACCCCCCCCCACCGCCCCCACTTTCTCCTACTGGCTCGGCCTGAGAACCTCCACCCCACCCCCAGCCTGGCCCCACTGCCCCAGCACACCTGTGCAAGCGCTTTCGGACCAGTGAAGGCACCGTCCTGAGGAATACTGGGATTGACTCCAGGTCCCCTCCTAAGGCCCCCTCCCCCACCTCCCTTGGGGCACTCCTACCCTGTGTGCTAGGCTGCCCCTCCAGAGGGGCTGTGAAGGACAGACTCATCAGGGGTGTATCCCGTGGAGGGCCACGTTCATCATATTCCTGGAACGACCCAGGACCTGCATCCTATGTGTAAAGCAGGGATCCTATCCTGAATTGTAAGGGAGAACATTGTATTCTTTTATTTAAGAAAGCGTTCTTTAGGCATCTCTGCAGGCCCTGGAATTCCCATTGGAATTTTGAAGTGGAGATGTCAAAGGATTCGCCCCCATCCTTCAAGATAAATGTTATTGTCCTCACTTTTCCAATAGGGAGACTGAGGCTCTAAGAGGTGAACTCATCTGGGGCTTCTCTGACCCTCCCCTAAACCTCTCTTCTGACTCACCCGCACACCGGGCATTTATATGCATATGCACCTGCTGTAAGCTGGGTTTCCTTGAGGGCAGGGACCATGCTGCTTTATTTTGCCCCGTTTGAGTCACGTTGGCTGGCCTCTAGAGGAAGGTTAAATGTTAAACGAGTAACCACTGTCAGGTCCCTCGCCCAAGTCCCATGGCTGGTAAGGACAGGAGCTGGGGCTCAAGGACAGAGCCCTCCTCCCTTTGCTCCACTTCAGAGAAATCCTAGAGGAGGAGGCAGGAAGAGGGGCGTGGGTGGGGGTGAGGAGGCAGGAGGGGTGGGGATGGAAGCAGGGACTATGTGGAGAGAGGTTTACAGGTGGCCTCCCTGGGACGTGCACTTCACAAGGAAGTAGGGAACATGACAGGAGGAGGAGGTCTGGGCTAAGATGATGAGCTTGGGTTGGGACCTGTTGCATCAGAGATGACTAGGGAACATCAAGGCCACAATTGGCTTTGGGTCTGGAGCTTAGGAGGGAGATCCAGGTTTGGGGGAGAGATGGATTGGGGCACCAGCAGCTGTGGATAGGAAATCGGATGAGATGTTGGGGAAGGAGAGAGTTAGGGATTAGATCCTGACCCACAGAGAAGTAGCTGCAGTCCCAAGAGAGAAGGTTCAGGGTCAGGCTGCTGGTTCCAGAAGGGTTAAGTCATAAGCCCCCTCCCTCCCCGCAACCCTCCCCCCAGGAGCCAGCAGTGACAGCTGAGGCCATGTGAGTCTGATCCTGAATGAGGCTTTATCTCTGCTCTTGGTCCCACCATCCACTGTGGCACCAGCTCCTTCGGCCAGCCGGGATGGGACAGGCAACTGAGAGAGCCAGAGAGGTCAGGGGCTGGGCCAGGGGCTTCCCTGGAGGGTGGGGGAATGTGTTCTGTGGGGGAACTCTCCTGGGGCCATTGGAGAGGCATTCCAAGTGGCAGTGCTGGGGAGGGGGTCTGTTGGGGGACACTGGGGCGCATTCCCAGGGATCATCCCCCAGGCTCCCAGGAGAGACCATAAAGGGCGAGTGGGCTGGGGAGGTAACAAGTGTGATCCCCCCTGCAGGTGATGGTGACCATACACTGGACTGGGAGAGGAACGGGACTCTGGGCCGCTAGCTGCCAAGCAGGTGGTGGGGGGCTCTAGGCCATGACCCACACCCTCTAGCCCCAACACTGCACTCTGACCTCTACCCCGCCCGCCGTCATGTCTGAAGGAGAGGCTCCAGTCCCGCCGGCTGGGGGGCTGCCCCCAGACATGCTGGCAGAGCAGGTAGAGCTGTGGTGGTCCCAGCAGCCGCGGCGCTCCGTGCTCTGCTTCTCTGTGGCCGTGGTCCTGGTGGCGGGCTGTGGGGCGGGAGGCGTGGCACTGCTGTCCTCCACCAGCAGCCGCTCGGGCGAGTGGCGGCTGGCGACGGGTACTGTGCTCTGCCTGCTGGCCCTGCTGGTTCTGGTCAAGCAGCTGATGAGCTCGGCTGTGCAGGACATGAACTGCATACGCCAGCCCCAGCACGTGGCCCTGCTGCGCAGCGGCGGAGGAGCCGATGCCCTTGTGGTGCTGCTCAGTGGCCTGGTGGTGCTGGTCACCGGCCTGACCCTGGCTGGGCTGGCCGCCGCCCCTGCCCCGGCCCGGCCACTGGCCGCTATGCTGTCAGTGGGCATCGGCCTGGCTGCCTCGGGCTCACTTTTGCTGCTGGGCTTGCTGCTCTATCAGGTGGGCGTGCATGGACACCGTCCCCCTCGCCATGTGGCCGCCCCCTCCACCCACAGTGACCGCAGTGGCAACGGCAGCATCTTCAGCATCTCAGGCCGGCTGTCTGCCGGCCAGCGTCACGAGACCACATCCAGCATCGCCAGCCTCATCTGACCAAGTTTCCCTTTTCCGCCACCTGCCTCAGTGGCCACATAGCTGTGCCGGGGTGTGAGCGGGCGTGAATGGGTGTGTGCTTGCACGTACATGTGCAGAAGAGTGTGAGTATGTACGTCTCCCCAGGACTGTCCAACCCTCTGAGGGTTGTGTGACCTGTGCTGTGTGACTACGTGACCCCATGCCACAGGAAGGCGTTGGAGGTGTCTCCTCAGAACTGGGGGTCTGTGACCATGGAATGGTCAGTCTACCTGTCCCTCTCTGGAGTCCCTGAAGATTCTTGGCCCCTATTCCCAACACCCCTCAAATGCCACCCTGCCTTGTGACACCTATCAGGGATTTCCCAGGAGTGACTGTTACCTGCCTAGCCTGGAGACAATCCCGGTGGCTCTTCACTGAGGAGAGTAACTGGTGACAAAGTGGAATGAGCACGGGCTCCACGATGTGCCAGGACTGGACTGGAACCCCTCCCCCCATCTTCCACTCACCAGCTGGGGACCTGGGGCAAGTGACTTGACCTCTCTGAGCCTCAGTTTCTGGAGAGTCACGGGCGTGGTTGTGGAAATTGACCGTGAGGGCCACATGCCATCGTGCATGGAAGGACCGGGCACGTGGCAGGTGTGCAATAAAAGTGGTGGCTGCTGTCATTGTGATTGTCTGTCCCTCGCCATCTCACCTAGAGACCTTCCCTCCCGCTCCCCTTGCCCACCCCCAACAACTACCCTTCTCCCGGGAACACTGTGCCTCTCTCAAGCTGACAAAAGGTGCCGTGTCCCCAGTCAGGCCTGTAGTTTCTCCTCATAGGTACTGCGGAGGCGAGCTGGGGTGAGCGGATGCTTCCCTTCAGGAAGATGGTAGGTTTCTGGTCCCGGGGGTCGGGGGTGGGGCGGGGTGTAGAGAGGAGTGTGGCCCAAGTACTTCACGTTTGCCTCTGCACTGGTTCAAGATAAAGCCTGAAGCACTGGGGTTTTATCAGCTGGTTTCTCTGGAGGCTGCAGCTCCCTACCCGACCTCTAGGACCAGAATATCTTGACCCCTGTAGTTGCTGCACCAGCCCGTCTTCCTCTGCACCCCACCCCCGCCCGCCCCCCCAGGCATGGGAGGGTTGTGTGAACCGCCCCTGGGCTGTAAGAGTCACTTCCTGCTTGGGGTCAGCCCTGGAAGGGATCGCCCTTCTGCAGTGCAGAACTTCCTGGGTGGCAACCATCACCTCCCAACGTTAGTTTCATCACTCCTGCTTCTCAAGGTCAGATGCGGCCGCAGCCCCGCCAGGGCCCCAAGAGAGGCAGGGACGCCAGACGGGCCTCCAGGGGGTGCTAAGCATAGAGCTACATGTGCTCTGATGGGAGAAAATTGCTTTCAGGGGCCAAGATCTAGGGGCCCTCCTGGAGAAAACACAGCGCTGATGGATGAGGGAAGGGCGTTGCCAGCCGAGGAGGAAGCCAGGTGAGCGGAAACAGGGGGCCATGTCCGGGAGCCCCAGGACAGCAGAACCTTTCCCCAGGAACTATGGCATCTCAGACCCCACGTATTCAACATCCCATCCCCCTCGTCTCACGTGGGGGCTGTGGCCTTCACCCAGCACCCAGGTGAGAAAGCTCGGCATGGTCCCAGACAGCACCCTCGCTCCCTCCTTATCCGGTGTCCAGTGACCACATCACCACCTGTGGACTCCCCCACACATGTGCGTGGGGTGCTCAGCTCTCCAGGCTCACTCCCAGCACCCTCCCCATCTCTGCCTGATTTGTGCAGCATCCCCTCGGGTTCCCTGCTTTTGCTCTTTTCTTCTTCAGTTGACCTCCCAACCCCAACACACACACTTGCGCCACAGTGACTATTAGGGGAGGTGATGGGGTTGGGGGAATGTGACCGCCAGTTGACCCATGAGCTAGACCCCTTCTCCTGTCCTTGAAATGTGTGTCCCGCTTGCCTCTCCAGCTCCTAGAAGCTGCTCCAAGGATACAGCCTTGAGACAGTGGTGTCGTGATGAGACTATCTGGATGGTACGAGAGACTGAACCCAGTGAAGGCCTCTGTATAAACTCTTAAGGTCTGACAGGCAGGTGCAGCGATCTTGTCTTGTAGCCACCCAGGAAAAGCCTCATAAGTAAGTTCCCTTGCCCGTTACACCTGCCAGCCACCGATCTGGAGTGGCCTGTCTCCGTCTCTGGTCTCTTCCTGCCCTCCACATACGAGGGCCAGTTTCAGACTATACCTGGGAGGCTCCAGGTGGCAACCCAGTGCTGTCCTAAAACGGACTTACGTTCGGGTCCTTCCCTGACCCCCCACGGCACGCAGACTAATGTGCAGGCTCCCTGACATGATTGGCCTCCCTCACACTACAAAGCAGCCCATGAGCCAGCCCCACAGAACTGCTGTGACCTCCCCATGTTCTCTCACTTCTCCCGGCCTTTGTGTCTCTCTCCCCCTTGCCTTCATACCCTTCAAGACCCAGTTCTCTAGGCATCTTCCCCGACCCTGTCCCCCTAAACTAACGAGTTGCTCATCTTCTAATGCTGGGCCCCCCAACTGTAAACACCAGTCTGCAGTTCTTTCCCTGTGTGCCTGTCTCCTGAATCGGGATTGGGGTGTTGCTCATCTGCATATCCTTTGTTCCCAAGGTGGGCCTGACACATGGTAGGTGCTTTACTAGATGAATGACTCACTCAGCTTGGTCGGATGGCAATAGGTATGCGAGGATCAGGGAGAGACCTACCCAGAACGGGATGGGTCGGGAACTTGGACCACTGTCCACTGTTGGCCCAGAACCTTTCTGCCCCCAAATTCTCACTCTCCCAGGGCTCCCATTCTCAACAACTCCAGGGCCATCAGAGGACCATAGACTGCCTCTCCATCCTGTAATATGGGGAGAAACCCTGTTTCTTTTCAGCTGAGACGGGGTTAGACTCTTTCATGATATTTCTTTTAAAAAACTAAAGGACGGGCGCCTGGGTGGCTCAGATGGTTGGGCAACTGCCTTCGGCTCAGGTCCTGATCCCGGAGTCCTGGGATCGAGTCCCGCATCGGGCTCCCTGCTCAGCGGGGAGTCTGCTTCTCCCTCTGACCCTCTTCCCTCTCATGCTCTCTATCTCTCATTCTCGCTCTCTCAAATAAATAAATAAAATCTTAAAAAAAAAAAATCTGCTTCTAAAAAAAAAAATAAATAAAGGAAGGGTGCCTGGCTGGCTCAGTTGGTGGACCCTGGAACTCTTGATCTTGGGGTCGTGAGTTTGAGCCCTATGTTGAGCCTAGAGATTACTTTTAAAAACCCAAACGAGGGGCAGAAGGTTTGTTTGAGAAAAACAAACAAATAAAATGCTACAACAAAAACAAAAAAACTAAAGGAAAATAGAAACACAGGCCTAGAGAAAGGGGAGGGGATGAGGCATATCGCACAAATGTCCGAATAAGCAGCCGCCGCAGACAAGGCCCGTGTTGAGCTCTCCTGGGAAGGATGCCAGATGAAGAATATGGCCCTTACCCCCAAGGGCCGTTCCAAAGGGCAGTGGAAAGCTCCACACGCAGCTCTAACGTGGGTCTGGGCAGGAGCTGGGTAGAGGCACAGGCAGGGCAGAAACGCTTCTGCACTCACTAAAGCTGACTTCCCACAACCTCCCACCTCCAGCTTGTTTGCTCAGAGCATCTCGGTCCACGCTGCAACCAGACGTCCACTGGACCCTCCTGTCTCCCCTCCCCCTCCTGTCTCCGTCTTCCTTCTGGTTCAAGATCCCATGGTGCATCATTTCAGCCACTCCTTGACAGAGTCCTCAACTCCTTAGCCTCCCTCTCCCCGTGCTTTGGTCCCACTGCCCCAGCAAATTCCCCTCCTTGGATGAATCCACCCGTCTGCCTCACAGGGAGCGGTTATTAGAGAAATCCGCGCGGCCAGGCCGCCTGGTGTCACCATGAATTCCTCATCACCCATCTCAACTGGGCTGCCATTCTACTCATCAGTTCCACTGTGCTTCCCTGGTCAGCTCCTGCTTCCACAGTGGCTGCACCCAAGTTATCTCCAGGGCTTTCACCCCCAGCAACACCCCCCCAGGCTTGGCCTCCCTGTCCCAAGAACATGAGTCATGTAGCGGAAGCCTTCACCTTGCTCCTACCAAATAGCTCCATCTTTACCCCCCGTCTGTGGACCGGCCTTGTCGGCCCAGCTGAGGAATTTGGACTTTGTCCTCAGGACAATGAGAAGCATAGAAAGCTTTTAAGGAGGAAAGTACTCTGGCCAGAATAGGATTTGGGACCAGCTGGCTGCAGTGCAGAGCCAGGAATTGGCTTTAGGAGTAAACGAATCCGAAGACACGTCCAATCGGTCCCAGAAGGGCCATTTCCGCTGGCCCCTGAGGGATGAGAAGCAGATGGCCAAGCTAGAGAGATGGAGAAGAAAGACTATCCCAGAAAGAAGGAAGAGCAGATGGAGGCTCCAGAGATGAGAGAACTTGGCTCCTTCAAGGAAACAGAGGGTTTGTGTGGCCGGAACTGGAGCATTCACTGGCAAGAGGCAAGGGGTGCAGCCAGGGAGGAGCCCTGGGCCAGTCCCAGGCTTCAGAGCCTCCATAGTAGGTGGCACCATTTCTTAAGGTGAAGAGGAAGCCGGTGAAGGATTTTCAGCAGGGGAATGGCCTGGTCCGAATTGTGTTTTAGGACACTCATTCTGCCTGCAGCATAGAGAATTAACTGGGAAGGGCAAAAATAGGGAGAGAGGAATCCTTTGGTCGATGAAAGCCATCTCCAGATGCGGAATGATGGCCACCCAGACAAAGGGGTGGCTGTCGGGACAGAGCCAAACACAACAGAGCTGATGGACGTTCGGAGGGTGGGACCAATCTGTCTTGGTGACTGAGGAGTTTTTAAGCTGGGAGAGATGTGATGGGTTGATAGAATGTTGATAGAACACGAGGGTTAAGACAGAAGGCAGAGAAGAGGCTGTTCTTAAAGTCCCCAAGTGGAGAGGCAGGGAGCGCGGCTCCAGGGCACGCACCGGAGGCCTTGGGCTTA